ACTCAACCACTCGGCCACGGGGCCGGCCCCAGTATTTTCCACTGAAGACACAGGAAGCTCTGATTAGCCTTTTTCTTCTTAGTCATTTTGGAAAGAGTGGGAGAAGGGACTATTTTGCTTATCAGGGTCCTCAACTCCTACAAAGATACAACAAGGGATGAACAACAGTAATTTACTATTCAGAAGGATGTGGGGTGTATTTGGAATAAAAATACAATGGAAAAAAATAATTGTTTCTTTGTGTGATTTTGCTGACTCCAAAACCCTTTCAGTTTTGGACGGATTCGCTGTCCAGGAGGAAATCTAAGGTAAGTCATTAAGATCTCACAGATCTTCCCTGGTTGACCACAATCTGCTCATCTAATCATATTTGACAATAAACTTAATTATCCAAGAAATTTTATTGACATTTTCTATCTCTGCCTCCTTTAGATGAGTGTCATTTTAAACTATGATACACGGAGAACAGTCAAGAATTGCATCTTGCATTTGATTTAAGAAGCTACATTTAAAAATTAAAACTTGCGTTTATATAATTATCATGATCAGGGAAATTAGAAACCAACCAGAGAGAAATTTATAAAAACATATTTCAGGAAAGGACTTAAAGTTAGATGCCCCTGCCAACTTCTTTGTAAACTGGAGAACATACAATTACTTAAAGAAGAATTAAGTTTTCCTAATTGCACTCTAGATTATGTCAAGATAAAACATTTGGAAATCTTAAGATTTTTACCTCCTCAAATTTTAGATGGACTGCTCTCCAGAATGATTTTTCTAATCAACATTATATGAAATCCTCTAGCTGATAAAAGGCCAAGCATTTACTTCTTCTCAAGCATTGAATGAATTTTTATCTATGAACACAGATGGTATTCTAGTTTTTACCATACTGAGCAGGAAGGAATAATTAATTTTCCTTATCCATGCCCTTTCTGCTTCCTGGTCTCTCCTCTCCTTCACAGCCACATTCTAAATGGCATTGTCCAGGGTCACTGCCCCATTTCCTCCCCTCTCAGTCTCTCCTCAGTTCACTCCAGTCCAGCATCCATCCCCAATTCTCCCCCGAAACTGCATTTATCAAGGTCACCCATGACCTCCATGCTGACAATTCCAATAGATGACGTGACGGTTAATTTTATGTGTCAATTTGACTGGGCTAAGGGATGCCCAGATAAAACAGGTGAAACAGATATAGCAGGTAAAACATTACTTCTGGGTGTGTCTGTGAGGATGTTTCTGGAAGAGATTAGCATTTGATTCAGTAGACTGAATAAAGAAGACCACCCTCAACAATGTGGGTGGGCATCATGCAATCCACTCAGGGCCCAAATGGAACAAAAATGCAAAGGAAGGGCAAATTCTCTCTCTCTCTTCTTGAGCTGGGACATCCACCTTTCCTGCCCTTGGACATCAGAGCTCCTGGTTCTCAGGGCTTCAAACTCCAGGACTTACACCAGGAGCCCCCTGATTGTCAGGCCTTTGAACTCAAACTGAATTATACCAGTGACTTTCCTGGTTCTCCAGCTTGCAGATGGTAGATCGTAGGATTTCTTGGCCTCCATAACTGTGTGAGCCAATTCCAATAATAAATCTTCTCTTGCATATATGTCCGTACATCCTATTGGTTCTGTCTCTCAGAACCCTGATTGATATAGATACTTGTCAGTCTCCATTTTAGTTTCTGAGAGCCTGTCTACCTAATATTGAGCATGCGAAGGGGAGTAAGAATACAGTGGGGAGAATTACATAAAACTCCTCTGCTCAAACCCTCCATTGGCTCTCCAGCTCACTCACAATAAAAGTTAACGTCCTCACAGTGGCCTACAAGGCTCTAAAAATTTGCCCCCTGTTGGGAGGCAATTCTCCATGAATTTCTTGCATTTCTGCACTTCTTGGAGCAGAGGTAGTGGCTGCCTTTGTTTGGACTCTCTTTTCAAGGATGTTTATATAACACACAGGCTCAAAGACAGGATCTCCGTCTGGGGCAGGGGACAGGTTCGTTTACTGTCCGGTGTCGTAATGTCTCCCACTGAGTCAAAGGTCAGGCAGGTTTGCTTGCTGTCCATTATGCAAGATTTGGGTTCCCTAAGTTCTGGGTTCCTCACCTGTGATGCAAACCCACTCTATGGGCAGCATCCACCTGGACTGCTCTGCATCGCCCCCAAAGGACTTGAGGGAGCCAAATGGAAAAGATACAAACATGAACCTCATGCTACTTGCTATGCTTAAGGTAATAAAATTCTTTATCTCTGCCCCAGGAGTCTCGTGTCTCTGCCAGTATTGTGCCAGGCTAAACCATTAGCTGGCAAGTGACATAAAGTCTTGGACCTTCCCAGTTCTTATCTGCCTATCCCACACCTCTCTCATCTCATCTCCTGCTCCTCCCTCGTCACCCTGCCTGGCTACACTGGCCTCCCAGCTGTTCCTGGAACCTGCTGAGCACACACCTGCCGCAGGGGCTCTGCACATGCTCTGCTGTCAGCCTGGAACATTTCACCACCCGACATCCCTCAGGTTCTGTCCAAATGGCACCTTCACCGGCCTTCCTCAACTCCTCTATTTAAAATAGCCTTGCCACCAGTAAACAGGTGGACTTTTGCCAATCTGATAGGTGAAAATGATATCTCACTGAGTTTTAAATTTATCTTTATTTTCTATATATACTTTACAACACCTATTATATTTCTATTATTAGTTTATTATGCTTAAGAACTATTTATATTTCCTGTGACTTGTTTCGTCCTATCCTTTATCTATTTTTCTATTGTATTATTAGTCTTTTGCACATACATTTTTCACTGGCCTATGACGTGATTACACATATTTTTTCTCAACTTATCGGTCTTTTGAGTTCATAGCGTTATCATTGTTGTTTTTTTGCCATATAAAAGCTTTTAATGTTTCTGTAGTTGAATTTATCAATATTTTATGGCTTCTAGATTTTCAATCACAACCGGAAAGGTCTTGTCCGTTCCAAGATTATAAGGAATTCATCCATGCTTTCTTCTATTTTTCTAGTACCTTTACGGTGTCATTTTAAAATAGACAGACCTTTGAATCATTTGGAAGTGACTTGGTGTAGTATGTGACTTATGGATTCAACTTTTAGGGTTTTTTGACTACCAATTGCCTCAACCTTTTTATTATTTATTTATTTTAAAAACATAATTGAAACATTTATTGAAAATAGACTCTTGAAAAATTGCTTCCATGCACAACAATGCCTCTTTCACCCATTTTAGAGGTGAGTATACTGTGATCTAGGGCATTTGTCAACAATCCCAAGACTGCCCAGCTGGTAAACAGAGTTCGCAGCTCCCTTGAGAATCTGCCCTCGTGCTTCCTCTTTCCTCCTGAGGCCCCCAAGACGTCCTTGTGGTTTGGGACCCCCCCTACTTCTTGCAACCAGTCTTATAGCAGGGCCGGCAATCCAATGCATTAGCTTGCACTGGGGCAGCCCTGTGCCTCCAGGGTGCATACACTGGGGTTCCAAACCCTCTGGACACAGTTCCCCTGGTTTAGCTCAAGCTGGTGAGACGCCTTAGAACACGGCCTGACCCCGTTGTGTGTCTGGGCAGGATTCAGACTCAATGCAGAAGACCCACAGGATGAAAGGGGGGGCTTTGCCCATCCAGCCTCCTCTGAGTATAGTTGGAGGTGCCAGGTGCCACTTTAATTTTATTTCTGCATGTACGTGGGTCTATTTCTGTACTTTGTTCCATTGGTTTGTTTGGCTTTCTCTGCACTGGTACCAAACTGTTTGAATTACTGGGGATCTATAATATGTTGTAATATCTGATAGTGCTTCCCCTCTCCTTGTTCTACTTTTTTTTTTTTTTTTAATTAAAGATTTTATTTTTCCTTTTTCTCCCCAAAGCCCCCCGGTACACAGTTGTATATTCTTCGCTGTGGGTCCCTCCAGCTGTGGCATGCGGGACGCCGCCTCAGCGTGGCCCGATGAGCAGTGCCATGTCCGCGCCCAGGATTCGAACCAACGAAACACTGGGCCGCCTGCAGCGGAGCGCGCGAACTCAATCACTCGGCCACGGGGCCAGCCCCGTCCTTGTTCTACTTTTTCAGAGCCTGTTTCCTGACTAGTCTTGTTTATTTTTCCATTTGAATTTTAGGAACAAACAGGGTAGTTTAAAAAGCACACGCATAACCTATTAATCCTATTAGTACTTGTATACGAATTATGTTAAATTTATAATCTTACTTAAGGAGAATTGAGATCTTTATGATATTGAATCTTCCTATCCAAAAACATCATTCATCCTTCCACCATTTGACTCATTTTTCTTATCTGTAAAATGGGAGTCATAATACCAATCTCATAGGGCTGTCCTCAGAATTTAACGAGAAAGCGTGAAGGACAGCATAGTAGGAGCCAAGGAGTTGCTTGGCTGCTTCCTAGCGTCTGAACTGGGGCTTCCTTCCTAGATAATCCTGAACTTCGTTCTTTCATTTGTAAGCTGGGGATGGTTATAACAGTATCTGCTTCACAGGACTGTAATGACGGTCAAAGGAGATGAGACATGCAAAGTACCGCGCCCTGCCTGGAGCATAAGTGCCCAACGACTATCAGCTGTTCTAAAAAACGGGCTATCACAGGGAAACGTGACTTAAAGCAAAAGCCTGCTGGGATCCACCTTAGGTCGAGGGCTCTCAGGTCAACTCTTTTTTCCGAGAGCCCACTCACCGTCACTCGCCACTTCTGATTTTCCCCGTGCCCCCGGGTAGACAGTCGCATCGGAAGCCGCGATCGCTAGCGCCCAGACCCACCGCGGGACTCCAGGAGGTCGCCCCCACCCCCGGGCCGCGGCGCTGCCACGTCTCGCGCGCCCAGTTCGCCGTACGGAAGGAGGCGGGGCCGAGTCGGGCCCGTCCCCGAGCGCGCTGCATCACGCCTGAGGCCCGCCCCTCCGCGGCCCGCGTCGCTGGGAGCGCGGCACCGGGGATGCGGAGCGCCGTGACGCTACGAAGGGGCGGGGGCAAGCACGCGCCCGGAAGTGCTGGGGGAGGGGTGTGACGTATATCCGGCGAGTAGCTGGCGGTCCCGGGTGCTGTTTCGCTGTGTGCTGTGAGGGAGGGTCGAAGCTGCCCGCCGCCGCCGGAGGAGCCCCTGGGGCCGTGAGTCAGGGGGCCGCGGCGAGGGAGGGAGCCGGGGCCGGAGGGGCTGGGGCGGACGGCGAGGAGGGTCGGGGCGGAGGCCGGCGCAGGCGGGGTCGTGGGGGGGAAGTGACACGCAGGCGGTTCTGTGGGGCCGCGGGGCTGGTTCTGGGCGGGGACCGGCCGGGTCTGCTCGGTCCCCGGCCGGCCTCTGGGGTGTCGGGTCGATCTGCGTTCCGCTCGGGGGGTTGCCGCTGCTGGGCGGGGTAACAGCCTGTACTGTGCGCTCCAGTTTACGAAGCGGCCTCACATCCCCTGTCTCGGATGAGCCTCGGCGGAGGCGAGTGGAAGTCCTTGATGATTATCCTTGTTTTACACACTCGGGGGCTGAGGATCGCCGAATTGGCCGAGGCCCCGCATGTCGCGAGTGTGAGAGTTCCAAACAGGTCTCCTGGCTCCCAGTCCAAGGCACCCCCCCCACCCCCACCCCCCCCCCCACCCCCCATCCCCCACTCCCCACTCCCCACTGCAGCCCTGTGTTATCTGATGTCCTGGGTCGAACCCCGTGCTTTCTCGTTCCACCTCCCTCTTTTTTCCTCTCTCTCTTCAGTGCATGGAAAAATTCTTTCATGTGCATTTCCTATATGGATTGATGCTTTCTGCACAATTCTAGCCGAGATGTCAGGAGCACACTTGTGAGAGTTGGCACTAAATTTTCTGTTAGCATTCTCCCTTGCCCTTGGCTTTTCCCCTTTACCTCGTTCCATCTGCATAGGTTGTGACAGGGGGCCTATGGAGCTTTACAAGAGGACTGACCCTTGACATTTGCCCTGCAGCTAAGCAGAGTTTCTTAGCTAAAAGCCAGCTCCCTGCTACTCCAGATGTGTCTGGAATGGTGTCTCAAAGTTGCTCTGAGGATGTATAAAAAGTAATGAGTATGTATAAGAAGTGGTGTATGGATTCTTTATGGGCTAATGGTCAGCTTGCTGCTCCTCTTTTTTATTTGAATCAGTCAGTCCTGGAATTTGCAAATTTTAGTTTTCGGTCCATTGGCAGTCCTTTTGTTGGTAGTTTAGAGCCCTTAAATTTCAGAGTACTCTAATTTGCCACAAGATGCTATAAAGTGGTAGAGTGGATCAAGGATAGGAAATGAATAGAATGCTACTTATTAACATACCATTCAAAAGATATGATGTCTTGTAAGGAAGAAAACTACAAGATTATCATGTGTAGTTGGTGGAAGTTTTATCTTTTTATTTGGATTTGAAATATATGTGATAGTAACAGGAAGGGCTTTGGCTTTGGCTTCAAAAGAGGAGAGTGTAAGTCCTGGCACTGTTAAAACTTTTTCAGTTGAGCAGTCCTGGTTAAGCCAGCTAAACTAGGGGTGTCAGCATCCTCATCTTGTTAAATGAGGCCAAGGATTCTTGCCTGTTAGGGTTGGTGTGAGGTTGAAATGAGATATATGTGTAGGTACTGTAAAAATACTCATGAGGTGGTACAGAGGAGAGGCACATTGTTCTCTTACTTTCCTATAATGGAAAGTTAACGCAGGAGCTTTGTTAGTGAATTTACGTTATTGGACTTCTTAAAGTGTGGACTAAGTTTCCAGTCAAAATTATTACTTAACATGCTAGATTTGGTCTTTCTGCCAAAATATATTTTGATTTTACTGAAAAAGGCAAAAAAACCTTATTATCTTTTCATAAAAGCTTTTGCCTTTAGTTTCCACCCCCCACCCAAACTCCCAAGCTTCGTTTGGCCCGCCGGGGTAACAGCCATAGAAAAGAATCATTAAGCAGTCCCTAAAGTTTATCAAGCCACAGGACTAATTAAAAAACCCAGTAATTGGATGAAAAAGAAAATTAACATATACTATCCATTTTTCAGTTTCTTTTTCATCTAGTATTCTTTGAATGGAGAATATAGGTGGGTTTTTGTGGATGATCCTTTTACAGGTCACCAGTAAAAGTAATAAAACAACTTTTGTTTGCTTTCTTTTTTGAGGAAGATTAGCCCTGAGCTAACATCTGCTGCCGATCCTCCTCTTTTTGCTGAGGAAGACTGGCCCTGAGCTAACATCTGTGCCCATCTTGCCTACCACAGCATGGCTTGAGAAGCAGTGCGTAGGTCTGCGCCCGTGATCGCAACCAGCAAACGCTGCGCCACCGAAGCGGAACATGTGAACTTAACCGCTGCACTACCGGGCCGGCCCCTTGTTTGCTTTCTTAAAAAAACAAAACTTCATTAAAGTTTTGTTTGGTAGCAGTTGGTCACATCTAGTATAAAGCCTTGTGTTCAGATGCTGTTGCTGATTGAGAGGAAGGAAGTGCAGGATCCTTCTTTTTTCTGTAGCACATCTGAGATATTGAGGCAAAAGTTCAGTGTGACCAGGAAATGCTGCCTCTGAGAAACCCTAACACCCACCATTGGCTCTAGATCCTACCCTCTTAACTCCATTCACAGGTCCCCTTGCTTATTACCCATGTACCAGTGTACACCTTTTAGTGCCTCTGGGTCAGCTTTTATTTTGTCTAGGCCTATGGGAAACAGGAAAAGTGGTATTAGTAGCAGTACTAATTAAGATATTTACTTAGCTAGGAACCTACCACTATGCTCTGAATGAATATTCTTATTTTTATTTATTTATTTTTAAGATTTTATTTTTCTTTTTTCTCCCCAAAGCTCCCCGGTACATAGATGTGTATTTTTTTTTCGTTGTGGGTCCTTCTAGTTGTGGCATGTGGGACGCCACCTCAGCATGGCCTGATGAGCGGTGCCATGTCCGCGCCCAGGATTCGAACTGGCAAAACCCTGGGCTGCCGAAGCGGAGCTGGAGAACTTAACCACTCGGCCACCGGCCTGGCCCCGTGAATATTGTTATTTTAAGAAAATCTAGGGGCTAGCCCCGTGGCCAAGTGGTTAAGTTCTCGCTCTCCGCTTCAGCGGCCCATGGTTCGGATCCTGGGCGCAGACATGGCACCACTCATTAGGCCGTGTTGAGGCGGTGCCCCACATGCCACAACTAGAAGGACCCACAACTAAAAATATACAACTATGTACTGGGGGGATTTGGGGAGAAAAAAAAAAGCAGGGGAAAAAAAAGAAGATTGGCAACAGTTATTAGCTCAGGTGCCAATCTTTTAAAAAAAAAAAAAAGAAAATCTATATTTATAAAATGGGTTCGATCTTGATTCACATTATGAAAAGATTCTCTTTTTATCGTTTCATAGCTCTCCAAAATAGTGATATCATCTCTTTTTTAAGTTGAGACACATATCTGCAAGAGGGGTTAAATAAATATTGTTTAAGAAGGGATAGCACTGGTAAATGGAGCAGGGCAAATTGTGCCAGCTGGTAGGATTTTGGTGACTTTGTGTTTTAGAGCTGTATACAAGGATGGGTTAATCTGCTTTTTGTTCAGGTTAATATGCCTTTCATTTTTTTCTACTTACTGCATCGATGTGACATTTTGATCCAGATTATTGACGGGGCTGATTTCCTGGAGGTTTTGCTAACTGGTAGACAGCAGTGATGTATCTAGGGAATGTGAATGAGCAGCTACCTGGAGGAGTGAGTCAGATAGTAAAAGAGGAAAGTATATCTTCAACTCCTAGTTCTCTAAGTATCATAGATTGAAAACTGTTTGGTTCTGCCTAAAAACCAAATGGTAAACCAAACCAAACCAGGAGTTTGTGCAGATCCGAGGCCCCCAGAGATTGCCCTCCAGGATGCACAATCATTTGTTTTCTTATGCCTGAATACATGGGACTGTAAACATGCATCAAGGCCAGGGAATAACTGTTAACTTCTCCAAAACTGTACTGGCATTCAGAAAGCTAATGTTTGTTGCTTTCGTCTTTCATACAGGTAGTAAGCATTAATAATGTCTTTCATCTTTGAGTGGATCTACAATGGCTTCAGCAGTGTGCTCCAATTCCTAGGTAAAGCCATTTCCTTGGAATATATCATAGGTTTCAGACTGTGTGTATTTCCTTCAACAATTTAAATATAAGCAGCCTTTGGTATGTATAGAGCAAAATTACGTTCAATTTTTTTTCTCTTTTAGGACTCTACAAGAAATCTGGAAAACTTGTATTCTTGGGTTTGGACAATGCAGGCAAAACCACTCTTCTACATATGCTCAAAGATGACAGATTGGGCCAGCATGTTCCAACATTGCATCCGAGTAGGTTTGAAAATACCAGGTGACCTTTTGATATTTGAAGGTCACTGTCAGGGTCAGAGGATGAATCCCCAATTGATGCAGTTCTTGTATTAACTGAGGTCCCAAAACACAGCTCACTTGAGAAAAATTCTCTATAGCACACACTCACGTCACATAGTCGGAAATCTGAACCTTTGGAACTTTGTCACTATCTATTCTTACCAGTCCTGTAATGGGACACATCTCCTATATCTACTTCTAAAAAGCAGCGAACACCTTGGAGAAAAAGAAAATTGGCTTTTTAGAATAATTTAGGAACATTTTCACCCTATATTATTCTCTTTACAAGGTGAAAGCTTCATTAGGTTTTGCAATGGTATTGGGTTACTGGGCCTTGTTGGATGGAGAAGTTTATTTCTTTCTTCTTTTCTGACAATTTTTCAGCATCAGAAGAGCTGACAATTGCTGGAATGACTTTTACAACTTTTGATCTTGGTGGGCATGAGCAAGGTAAGAGACAATTCAGTGGAAGGATGGTATTGACTTGTGGTTTATTTCATGCCCCTCCTCTTTTTTTTAAAGCAGGGTGTCATTTTTTTAATTTAGAATTTGTCATTTATTTAGAATATGTCATTTAGAATTGAGATCTTATTCCTTTAATGAAATTGTTTTATTCACTTATTTTTAAGTAATTTCAAATTTGTTGAAAGTTGCATAATTAATACAGAGAAATCTACTCCTTTATACTTTTTGCCCAGATTTATTAGTCTCTCTCTTTATACAATGCATGTTAATATTATTTTTCTTCAAACATTTCTGAATTCATCATACTCTTTTATTCCTTAATTCTTTAATGCATATTTCCTAAGAACAAGAATATTCCCTATATAGTCATAACGGTTATCAAACCCAAGTGGTTTTATTTTTATCTACTGTATAGTGTATACTCCTTTTTTGTCGATTGTCCCAATGATCTCCCTTATAGCATTTTTCCTCTTAATCAAGATCCAGTACAATATCACACATCACATTTAATCGTCTCTTTTGTATTCTTTATTAATGGAGTATAAATATGTAGAAAATTGTTATTCTTTGTAAGTAGTTTCAGACTTGTCAAAAGTTGCGAGAATAATACAGTGACTACTTGTGACACTGATGTAAATCGATATTTTGTGTGCTCTCCCTGTTTGGAGCAGTTGGGGAGCATTTGCTTCTGCCTTCTTGTTCTCCTCCAGTGCTTTTGCCTTACTCAGGTGTGTCTGTCTGCTTCCCAGGCTCCTCTTAGGTGTCTTGTATGTGTTTTAGAGATACACAGAATGAGGCATCTTTATGTGATGGACACTCACTTTACATTTGGCAAGACTCTAGGCTTAGGCGTAAAACATTTAAGATGCGGGGATAAATATTTTGGGAAAGTAGAAAAAAGAAACTATTCAGATTCTGTCAGATTTATTCATTTGTTTTTAAATTGAGTTGAGAGCATTTGAAGCATTATATTAGGTTTAATCTAATATAGTTTTTTAAAAATAGAGTTAAAAAAAGAGAATATTGGTAATTTTAATCATTCAGCCAAATAATTTTGGCCAAAAGGCTGAGAAGCGGTCCAAGTAATTTTATAGTCAGTGATTTCGTTAACATATAATTATATTTATTTTATTGAATATTTATATCCTACATATATGTAGTATGATCACAATCACATAAAATACCTGTACAGAAAAAAGATTGAAAGAAAATATACAGAAACATTAGCAGTGACTGTGTTTTGATGGAGGATTATAGATTATCTTACTTCCTTTTTTTCTATGATGAGATTGTATTATTTTCATTTGGATAGGAGTGGCTGTATGGTGTCTTTTCTGCTTCTTTCAAAAGGATTTATAACTGCTTACAAATTTAAATTCAGAGGTAATACAATTGTAAGTTGCATATAGACCATCTGGAGAATGCAGGAGTAGGTGTTTTTAAGACACCTGAACTGAGAATTGTGTATTATTTGGTGTGATAAATTTAGCTTTCAGCTTTTGATAGACTAACAAGGGAAATGTGTTGATGTATGTAGTGTTGTTTTGTTTGAGGAAGAGTTACTTACAGAAACACTTTTTCATCATAACCTCGCCACTGTTTTACAGAAGTGGCTACAATGCTGACTAGAGTACATTTGGAGGTTTCCTTTTTTTTGTATAACTTAAAAAATTTAATTTATAGAAGTAGTCCAGGGTCAATATAACAAATTCAGTCGACAATCAGTATATAGATAGGGAAGGGAAGAGTGAAAGTTCCTCCCGCTCTCCTTCCCAGTCCGGCGCTTCACAGGCCATCATTGTTAACTGTCTCATGTAGAGATGCGTCTGTATTCAGCCCATTGAAAGGACTAGAAATGAGTGGCTTAGAAATTATATAATTAAAGCATTGCTTTCCAAAACATTATCACTTCATGTCAAACCAAAAAAAATGTATAGAGCACACTGGGTTAAATATAGGAGGCTGAGGTAATTGGCCTGGGAACTTCAACCACCTGTCAGGCCCAATGTACCTGAGGGCTGAGTGGATAAGTTATATACTGGTTAGGCAGGAACTAACTTGGGACTAAAGTTATATGGACAATTTGTATCCTGATATTTTAACTCAGAGGTTGCAAACTGAATTGACCCGAGGGGTGAGGTAGGTCATTTACGTGAGTGACATTGAGTGTAGAAGACAGTAGGGAGTGGTGGAAACTTTGGCAAACCGAAGAGCCCAGACCTCGTCTAAAGGGGCAGCCACAACTCAGTTCCTGCTGATTATTGATGTGTGAGTAGGTAGGCATGGGATTTTCAGAAAATCAGGCACAAAACCCTGATTTTCGAATTTTAAAAAATCAGATTAAGTTCATGGACCATCAGTTTATACCCTCTGTTCTGACTTAATACTGGCTAGGACTTGGAGAATCCATATGAAGTCTAATGCTATTGAAACCTGGCCAAGATTTTCCTACTTTATAGACCATTAGGTTATTTGATTTCAAAATATATCTATTTTTTAATTGATGCAGCTACAAACTTTGTCTTTTAGCACGTCGGGTTTGGAAAAATTACCTCCCCGCCATTAATGGGATTGTCTTTCTGGTGGACTGTGCAGACCATCCTCGCCTCATGGAATCCAAAGTTGAGCTTAATGTACGTTTATATTTTTTTTCCTTTTTTGGCCTCTGTTTCTTTGAAGGAATACGGCTCAGTAGTGCCAATACTTAATCATTCCAGTTAGCATTTCATGAAAGTCCTCGTTACAAGAAGAAAGTGTTTTAAAATGTAAGGCATTGCTTTTCAATGTCTTGAGGAAACTCAGCTTGAATTGAGTAAACTAACTTTGTTTATAGCTATCATAGGGTGACTGTATGTCTGATTTGCTCAGGACACCCCTCAGAGTATGCCTGTCCCAGCATAATCAGTGTCTTTCCCTTCATGTGTCACATATGGTCACTCTTGATGAAGTGTGGGCATAGTGAAAACTTGAAAGAGGGATTAGAATTCTTTACATTTTTAGATCTACATTCTCAGCTTGTACCTGCCCACCTTTGCACTTAGCAGTCTGTTCTGTCTTCAGTTTTGGTCTTGTGCAGCGTTTGGTACTATCAAGGACTTGCTTCAAGTTTTTTCTTTTCTCAACAGTGCATTTTCTTGCCTTGACAATTTCTGTAATGTTGCCTTTATTATCCCTACTGCTTCACCCTGCGCCTCTTCTTTCTCTGTGATTTAACTCTCTCTCTGCACTCTTGGTCCTGGCAGTTTGAACCTGTCTCAAGTTTGTTTGTAAGTATGTTTCTTGAATCCATAGTTCTAGTCTCATGTAGAATCACCTGCAAGGCAGTCCTTCCGTTACTTGACCTCTTGGCACTGGCCATTCTTTCTTTCTTTAAACTCCCCTTTACATTCTTGGTTTGGGTGCTCTGTCTCTGGCCAGTACCTCACAAGCTCTTTCATAAGCCCCTGTTCCTCTGCTTAGGCCTTAAATCTTGGTGTTCCCCAGAGTCTGTACTCTCTCCTAGGCTAGTCCAGGCTACTCCTTTCCTTCATCTGCCACCCCCATGCTAATGACTCCCAAATGGATTTCTCTCGTCTAAACCTCTCTTGAGCTCCAGCCTCATACTTAATGCAGGCTACTAGACAGCTCCACCTACCAATCTGTTCTCCTAGAATGGAACTATTCATCTTTCCCATCATCTACCTGGGTACACAATCCAGAATCCTGTGAATTAGTGTAGCTTCCAGTAGAAGGAACTTTCTCAGACTTGTCATTGCCCTACTTAATATCCGTTAATCTCTGTCACCTTTGGGATGAAATCCACAAATCTTTTGCACAGCACAGAGGATCTTTCACGATCTTTCCTCTATTTATTTCTCCAACTTCTTTTCTCTCTACTGCCTACCTTGAACTATATTTGAGACATAGAGAACAACTTGTCCTTCCTTAAGTATACGGAAGTAGTTATCCCTGCCTGGCTTTCTTACCTGACCCCCTACCTCCATTTGCTGGTAAATTTCGAAATGTCTTTTAAGAGATCTCAGAGTTCAGATATGAGCATTTCTAGGAATCCTTTCCTGACCTCTCAGACTGTTAGACTCTGCACCTTATCAGTGTCTGTTGTATTTACTGGTTTTGTATAGGTCTGTCCCGCTGGACCATGAATTTAGATGGTAAGGACCTTATCTTATTTCTTTGTGAAACCTCTGCACCTAGCAAAACATTGGATACATAGTAGGTACTTTGTTAGTATTTAATAAATGAATGACATCCTTACTTTGATTTTGTGTAACATCTCCTGGAACTGAAGATGGTCAAAGCATGTTCCCCTTTATTCCTTCAACTCCACTCTCCTTTCCTAGCTTTTCCTATCAGTGAGAACTAGATTCCCAGGCTTGAAATCTGTCAGCTTTGACTCCTCGTCTCTTGTCATTTAGACATCAGTCTCTTCACTTCTTCAAAATGCCTGCTACACTATTTATTACATGCTTCCATCTTAGGCTAGATCATCATCTCTTGCTTGAGCACCACAGATAGATACTGTTTGTGAATTCATTGTACTAAAAGTGCAGATTCTATCCAGTAATTTCTGAATTTAGGGTCTTTAGGATCTGTTGCAGCTAGCTTCTCAGACTGATGCCATGATGTTGGTCATCGCTTCCCATCCCATTTACTCTGTCATTACATGTCAGTGTAAATGCTTTAATCCAGTCGGGTGGTACTCCATCTGGCTTCCTGAATTCTTTTCCTACTGTAAAGCCATTGCTTGTATTCTTCCTTCTCCTTTCCACCTATTGAAATCCTCCCCCTCCTTCAGAGCCCAGTTTAGGTTCCACCTCTTTGCTAATTAGACTTCCCTCAAGCCCACCTTGCCATTTTATTTCCCTGAACGTCTTTTAAGTACTTATATTCTGTCCCCACTTGTTGTGACACTTAATCATCCACTTGCCTTGCTTTGTTGACAGATATGTGAACGTAGAGTGAGGATTTCTTGAGGCCAGGAATGTGTCTCATCCTTTCTTTTGTAGCCCTCTCAGTGCCTGAGATTGCTCTTTGCACACATGGGGCACTCAGTAAATCCTTGGGGGGTCCTGTAGCCATCTCTGAGGCTCTGGAGTCAGAGCATTCGCTCTCGGAGGATTGTGCTCAGTGGGTAGCCCGAGGATGGTCTTTGGTGAGTGATTTAGCTCACAGTTAAGGTTGGGCAGTTCTGCTGCCTTGTAAATAGATACAGCCTTAAGTTGAAATTGTTTTGAGGATATTTACCTAATGTCAAGGTAATTTTTATGTAATGCTAAGGGTGTTATATAATGTCAAGATGAACTTTTAGTTGATCGCTCAGGTCTAAAGATGATCGCATTTCCGCTTTACGTCTGCTGCGTTACAGACAAGTGGAAGTCACAGTCGCTCCATGACCTAGTGGGCTCGCGCACATCTTCACTCAGCTCCTCTTTATCTCGTCTAGGCGTTAATGACTGATGAGACAATATCCAATGTGCCAATCCTTATTTTGGGTAACAAAATTGACAGAACAGATGCAATCAGTGAAGAAAAACTCCGTGAGATTTTTGGGCTTTATGGACAGACCACAGGAAAGGTAAGAAAATCTTCAGGGAACCTATTATAAAAGAAATTCACAGCTTTTTTTTAACGTTCATGTTTTGCTGTCTAGATTTTACTTTGCTTTAAAAAGTTTACCTGGGCTCAAGATTTGTTTTCCTCTAGGTAAACTCTCTGAAGACAAACATGTTCTTAGTTTAACCATTTTTTCTTTTTTAAGATTGGCACCTGAGCTAACATCTGTTGCCAGTCTTCTTTTTGTTTGCCGCCTCCTTCTCCCCAAAGCCCACCATACATAGTTGTATACTCTACTTGTGAGTGCCTGTGGTTGTGCTATGTAGGATGCCACCTCAGCATGGCCTGATGAGTGGTGCCATGTCCACGCCCAGGATCTGAGCTGGCGAAATCCTGGGCCACCAAGCAGAGCGCACAAACTTAACCACTCGGCCACGGGGCCAGCCCCTAACCATTTTCTAATAAGATATATTCCTCAGGTATTTAAAGATGAAGAGAATGGTAGAAAAGGCACCCTTGCTATTTTAAGAATTTTCTGACTGTCTTTCAAATCTGATTCTGGGAAATCTCTTTTGAAAGAGCCCTTCTTAGCCAGAAATCTTTTTGTTTGACTGGAGATTTCAGGTTATGAAGAAGAGTGATCATTTATGTCACTTACCAAGCATTGAAATCAAAGCTCTGGATTATCCTCAGTGCTCTTTGCTGAGATTGGTAGGACTGTTGTCCTATTTCGAAGATGAGGAAACTCTGAGAGTGATTTGTAAGTCGGTGATAAAACTAGGAATAGAACCTGAGTCTTCCGGATCAGTAGGTTATGCTGTCTCCAGTTGGAAGGGGAACTCTGTTGCAGAAAAGTATGCTTGTGAGAGAGAAAATCTAGATTAGCTATAATTAAGCGTGAATCCTGGTCTTTTCAGCTCAGATTTTGGCATATTTACATTTTATTTTTATTTTTTTAAAGATTGGCACCTGAGCTAACAACTGTTGTCAGTCTTCTTTTTTTTTCTTCCCAAAGCCCCCCAGTACATAGTTGTCTGTTGTTGTTGTGGGTGCCTCTGGTTGTGCTATGTGGGACGCCACCTCAGCATGGCTTGATGAGCAGTGCCATGTCTGCGCCCGGGATGCGAACTGGCGAAACTCTGGGCTGCCAAAGCAGAGCGCACGAACTTAACCACTTGGCCATGGGGCTGGCCCCATATTTACTTTTTAAAATTTTCCTTTTCTGAGATCTGTGATAATTTCGTGACTTTTTACATGGTTCCTTAGTCTTGCCTCTTCTTGGTTCTTTCTTTCTAGAAATGCTTCCTTTAATTCACTTAGTTTCCCCTCTTCTGCATGAGTGTTACACATGAATTCTTAATTTCCTTGATGTAACCTCTTATTAGTGTATATTTCTGAATGCTTGTGTTAATGAGAGTGTCCTTATTTCCAAAAAGTCCCAAACTCCTTTTGTCCATTAAAGAGCATGCTGGTTCTCTGGGTCCCAGTGGCCTTTTTCTTGGTTTGCTGCCATAGCTTTCCAGATGAATATTGATGTGTTCAAAGCAAATGTTCTTCGCAGGGAGAGAGAGAGGCTAGGAATGAGAGACTATTCTATCCTGAAAGGATGAAGCCCTGGGGAAGTCATCTGTAGGGCCTTGACCACATTTCTGTAATTAATCCCTGTTTAGATTTGCTTTTGAGGAATGCAGAAAGTGATTTCTGTGATCCCCCTTTCAAGCCTTTCCACCATGGAGATGCTAACAGGCCTTTCTTGGTTTTGTCTCCCTTAGGGTAATGTGACCCTGAAGGAACTGAATGCCCGCCCCATGGAAGTGTTCATGTGCAGTGTGCTCAAGAGGCAAGGCTACGGCGAGGGCTTCCGCTGGCTCTCCCAGTATATTGACTGATGTTTGGACAGTGAAAATAAAAGAGTTTTACTTCTCTGGACTGATCCTATTCACAGCTTCCTCATGAACTTTTATAATAGAACAAGGAAAGCTCTCCAACCATGTCTGGCGTTGAGAAGCCAAGAGTCTCTGTCAGCTCTCATCGCCCAGTGGTGACATGTGCTCTTCTCCACACTGTTGGGAGGTAACGCTGCCCCACGTGCTGGTGCAGGTCAGCATCCCGGGACTTGGAAGCTGGCAGGATTTGCCGGGTAAAGCTGTGTGCCATCATGGGGCACCTGAAAAGAAAAACACGTCTCACCACTGTGGTTGATTTCAAAAGAAAGTGATTCTATTTTTTAAAGATGGTGTTGTTAATGTAATTGGTGTCCCTCCTAACTTTTTGAGTTAACAATTTACTTGGTCCAGAGTTTTCTATCCTTTTTTTTTTTTAATCTAGTGAATGGCATTTAGATACTTCATAAAATTATGCACAGATACATCTTGGAGGCCAGCGCTCAGTCAAGTGAACTTACTCCTGTTGGTTAGCAGGCAAGTGAGAGATGTGAGAGATGCGCCCCTGTTTCTCACTGCCTTCTAGTGGGTGGCGTCACCTTGAGCACCGAGAACAGGAAAGGGTAGAGCCCTGGCCTCACATTTGCGGCAGGTTTCCACTGGCATGCTGGGGTCATTCCTCATCACGGAATGCACAGCAGATTGTTCACTGCAGAGGAGTTAATCGTATAGTGGGTTGTTGCTATTACTATTTTTACTTAGAAAGTTACAAATTTCAGCTAGTCTCTGCTTTTATACTGTTGGGAAATCTCATTTCTCTCTAGCACCTTTTTCATTTTCAGTTCTAAAAAGTGACTTTCGCCTCAAAGTTGAGAACATCTCTCATGTTGTCATACACTGCAGTATGTCTCAGTTACTTTTGCACAGATTCCTTTCAGAGAATATCTTCTGAATTGGAGAGTCACACAGGACAAACTTAACAGCTTAAGAGCTCTGAATTCTCTGAGTTGAGAACTTAAAAATCTGGTGGTGCAGCATTTGTTTGAATCTAGGAAGGATTTACGCAGTGAGCTTTCAAATTTTCACTTGCAGAATTTGGTCTCTATTGGACTGTTCATAAGCTCTGTCTTTTGATCAGTTACCAATTTTTTTGGTGTCTAAAGGTTAACATCTGTAGCTTTTCCAGATTTTTTTTTTTTTTTGGTATGAAATTGCCTTTCTCCATTCCAGAAATAAGCTGGGGAAACTCTAATCCAAGAACTTTGTGTAGAGCTGTTCCTTTTGAGCCAGCATCACTTATTGTCAGTAAGCACCCCAGCATCCCCTGTAGTGTGATGACTATTTTTATAGCATTCCATTTTCTTAATGCCACGTATGAAATTGGCTTTTCATGATCTTAGCTAATATTCTACCCTTGTAGTAAAAGATGAAGGAATAGGAGGTGGTCTTAAGATAGGAGAATACCTTCATTCTTTTTCCTTTAATGAAAGATTAAAGGTAGTTTTGTTAAAATTCAAAGTTATAATGATGCTTATTTACAGAGGATTGAACTAAATTGAGTGGATTCTTGCTTCTAATGTGAGGGTAGGGAAGGTGTGGATAACATATTCCAGGAGTGAGATATTGTTCTTTAGTTGGATTTCTCATTGTTAGTCTTCACTACTGACTGTTGGGAAAGCATACTTTTTTACAGGTACCAAATGCAGAGGCTCAATGAAGTATAAGTCTGGGAAGAGCATGCCTTTCATTTATTAGCAAGCATAGCTGGATTAAGACAAAATGGTGGGTTTGGAAAAGGGTTAAAGCCTTAAGTGAACAAATGTAGCTAACGGGGAATGAACTGGCTAGTTAACTTGCATACTTTTAATTTCCTTTGTCTAAAGGTAACCCATACTTCTCCATTCAGAGACATGAGAAGTATGAGTGCTTCAGTGTTAGTTTTCTTGTTTTTGTTTTTTTCCTATTTTTCCCTAGTCACTTTGTAGCAAGCTAGAAAACTATGGATTCTAGACAGGGCAGCTCTTTGTGAAAGTGGCTTATTTTGGCCACTGGAGAAAGGGGATTGAAAAGTCACGTGGCACCAGTCTACTCCTTACCCCACAGAAAACACCCTTCCTGTACTAAGATAGTGGAAAGAAGCTGATGTGAGGAGCTTGGCTCCTAACAGTGAGGATTGGAGCTTTGTACAGGAACCCCCATGAACTGAGACTTTTCATTCTGTTTTATCAGAGTGCATATATGTCCTATTTCAGGAAAAGTAAAATGGTCATTTACAAAAGAAAGTCAATCTGTATCCTTAGCATTTTAATAAAAACTTAAAAGAAACTTGCTGGCTTCATTCCTATGTGTGTGTTGGTTTGTTTTGATTTGAACATATCATGACATTTGTTCTTGGGGGGAAAGCACAAATTCTTTCTGGGAAGAAATATTTACAGTGGATGTGGTGGGCTTAAGTTTTGCTATCAGGAAAAAAAAGAAGGGCTAGGCCAGTTCACACATTCCACTAGAAGTCATCAATTTAGGACTGTGTGAGAGCCTTGGGACATGCGGTGGTCCCAGGATTGGTGGTCATGTCTGCAACAGGATGGACATGGCAGACTTTTGAACAAAACCACATTAACATGCTAGCAAGGACTAGATCCAGTTTAGCTGTGTTTCACTAATCATTTTCTACAAAATAGGAGAGATTCAGTTGACTGCTACATTTGGCAAAATAGAGGAATGAAACCTGTGCTTGTGCATTTACGAGGCTTGTAGGAAGACTTGCTTTTAGAAAACCCAAATGAGATCCTAAAACTAAGGTATTAGGACAAATAGATTGGGAAGCAAAATGGAACAGTTTCTTTTTGATGAGTATTAAAATTATTGAAGGCATCTTGTGATTGAAACTAATGTCCCTGTTACTATGAAATGATGCCGTGGGTTCTGTGTTTATGTGGATTTGTTTGTGTCCAAGTTTGGTGTGGAACATGAGAATTAAAGGTGGAATCACTGAGTCCAGCACTCAAGGGGTCTCACCTTGGCTGTTGGCCGTGACTTGGGACTCTGTACTGTGATGCCGTAAACACACACAGTCTGATGCATAACAGTTCATGCTGGGGGCTTGAGAGAGAAACTCCTAATTGCCAGGAAGTAGGGGTAGTCAAGAGGTTTTACTGCGATCAAGCCATCTTCTGTGTTACAGAACTTAAAGGATGGTGCCTCCTCTGGGAAGACTGCTAATTTCAGACCTACTTCACTGTAATGGATCATCATTTGCCTTTCTCAGACTTGAGTCCCTGGGAGCATTGCGAGCATTGCCCTGTGTTGTGCTGGGGATACACCAAGCACCATTAGTTTTATTTAAAAGTTTGAGGCAGAAAAGTTAGGTAATTTAAGTAGTAATTGGATATTGTTTTCATTAATGCTGACAAATACTAAAATCTTAAAAATTAATGTGTATTTTAGTGATAGAGTGATAAACAGACCTTTGTAAAATGTCTAGCTTGTGGTGACTGCTTTGGGGATAGCCTGAAGTGCCCAAAACATACTTGTTCGTGCTCCTGTGTCCTCAGGGATACTTCTTTGGGAAAGTCGGGACGTTTATGTTAGATTAGATCAGGGATGGCAGAACACAGCTGGTGGTCCAAATCTGGCCTGCTGCCCGTTTTTGTATGGCCTGTGAGAAAAAAAAAGGATGCTGCTTTGTGACATGAAAATTATGTGAAATTCAAATTTCATTGTCTATAAGTGCAGTTTTGTTAGAACACAGCCACCTCATTCCTTTAGCTTTTGCATGCTACAACTGCAGAGTTGAGTATTTCAGACAGGAACGTATGGCCCACAAAACTGAACTATTTACACTCTGGTCCTTTACAGGAGAAGCTTTTGGCCCCGGACCTAGATAAATCCTGGTTGGTGGTTATAAATGCCATGTTAAATGTACATACTGCAAAATATAGGGTTGTATAATTAAAAACTTTGACCTCAGTTACTGTTCGTCATAGTCAATTTTAAAGGGCACTTTCATTTTGAGCAAATCCAGTTTCTATGAGATTTGTCGGTGGGCTTTGGCATCAAAAGGCCTTAGACGTAATCTCGTGAACTCCATGTCCCCTAGTGGATTGCCGTAGGGTTTACTTTCAACATTTCAAAATACCGAATCTGCCAAAGATTTCTTTGCCCGTATTATCCTAGGGGTTAGGGGCTGAATGTCGCCTAGACCTGGACGGATGCTGACAGGTCCTGTCATGGCCTGGGCAAGCCTAGCCACGTCAGCGCTCATTTCTGTTCCCCTTCCCGCAGCCCAGCGAACAGAGAAGAGACTGAGTTCCGAGAAACCTGCTCACCTCCCATCTCCCGGTAAAGCCACAAGCCTGTCATTCCCGTGGCTCGTCCTTCCGGGAGTGCTTCGCCCCCTACGTTGCACAGGTAGCCTAAACCAGGGCGGGGAAAGGTGGGGTCAGCCTCTGCAGCCAATCGGGACTCGGCCCCGTGCCCAGCCAATCGGGCCGGGCCAGCTGGGGCTCAGCCAATCCAGCCTGACAAGGAAGACGTGCGCCTGAGTCAGTGCCTGCGCCTCTCGCTTCCAGCTCTGGGCGGCGCTGCGTGCTGTCGGCGGGTCTTGGCCGGGGTCCTCCCTCGCCCCCTAGTTCTCCGCGAAGCCGGTGTGCACTCTCCTGGAGGCCATGGGGCGACAGTGGGGGCCCGCCATGAGGGCGGCCGAGCAGGCGGGCTGCGTGGTGAGCGCCTCCCGGGCCGGGCAGCCGGAGGCGGGCTCGTGGAGCTGCAGCGGGGTGATCCTGAGCCGCAGGCCGGGCCTAGTGCTGTGCCACGGGGGCATTTTCACCCCGTTCCTGCGGGCCGGCAGTGGGGCGCTGACAGCGGCGGGCGCCGCCTTCCTGCCCGGCGACAGTTGCGGCGACGACCTGCGCCTACACGTGCAGTGGGGCCCAACGGCCGCGAGTCCCGCAGGCCGCGCGGAGCGGGGCCGCACCGGGCTGTGCACGCCCCACTGCGCCGGCCTGGAGCCCAGCCCACCGGCCCGGCCCCGCGGGCGGCCCCTGCGGCCCCCGCGCCCCGCCGAGCTGCTGCTGCTGCTGAGCTGCCCGGCCTTCCGGGCCCACTTCGCGCGCCTCTTCGGGGGCGAGGCGGCCGAGCAGTGGCACTTCGCGAATGCGGCGCCGGACGACGAGGTGTCGGAGGACGAAGAGGAGGATCAGTTGAGAGCTCTGGGCTGGTTCGCGCTGCTGCGCGTGCGGCCGGGTCATGGGGAGGAGGCGGAGGAGCGCGGGCCGGCCGTGGCCGTGGCGCCTCTCGGGGCCGTGCCCAAGGGCGCGCCGCTGCTGGCCTGCGGCTCCCCGTTCGGGGCCTTCTGCCCGGACATCTTTCTCAACACGCTCAGCCGGGGCGTGCTCAGCAACTCGGCCGGCCCGCTGTTGCTCACTGACGCGCGCTGCCTGCCGGGCACAGAGGGCGGAGGCGTGTTCGCGGCGCGGCCCGCGGGGGCGCTGGTGGCGCTAGTGGCGGCCCCCCTCTGCTGGAAGGCCCGCGAGTGGGTGGGCCTCACCCTACTCTGCGCCGCTGCCCCTCTCCTCCGCGCCGCCCGAGCCGCGCTCGGCCGCCTGCACCCCGGCGCCACGGCCCTGGCTGCCCTCCTGCCGCCCGAGATGGGTGCCCCGTGGGGCCTGCCCCTCCGAGACCCGGGACCCCCGTGGGCAACCGCAGCCGTGCTGGTGGAGTGCAGCACCGTATGGGGCTCCGGAGTGGCCGTGGCGCCCCGCCTCGTGGTGACCTGCCGGCATGTGGCTCCTCGGGAGGCGACCAGGGTTCTGGTGCGCTCCACCACCCCCAAGTAAGGCCTGCAAAGTTACTCCCGCTCTACCCCCTCACCAGGTCTGAGGTCTGGATCTCAGGTCTCGGGTCATCATTCTGAGGATTATGGAGGCCTTCTAGCGTGACGCTGATGCTTTGGTGGTGTAATGTGGGTAGACACCTGGGACCCTTCTCTCATCCTTGGCACCCCGAATCCCAGTGTAAGGGATTCTGGGCCTCCTGGCGGGCAGTGAATGAGGCTTGGGCAAGATACCAAGCAGCTCTGATTTTGAGAACTGTGGGGCGTCCCTGCGTCCGCGCCTGGGCACCTTTGAGCTCCCTTCCCAGTCTGAATTCCTTCTGCACGACTTCTCTGTCTCGTAGCCCTACACCCACACACCACTGGCCCTTTGAGTGGAGACTTCCTAACCCCGCCCTCTCTCCCCTGAAACGCAGTGAGGTCCCAGGGGCCCAGGATGCTACCCTCTTGCGGTAATGAGAGGGGCCTGCCACTCTTACTTGATTTCTCTCTTAGATCTTGACCAGAGCTGTCCATCTGCATCAAAATTACAGGTGTGGGATTCCACCTAATTAGACTGGGAGTAGGGCCGGGGCAGATAGATATATTTTGAACAAACTTTGGGTGATCCTGGCAGCCGGCTTGGGACTTCAGACAGTCATTTGTTCCCTCTCTGTCGGGAAAAGCACTCTTGCCTCCTTTACTTCCATTTGCTCTGATGGTGCAGTGACCTTGGCTCCCTGGCTTCTTGTTCCAGTACCTCTTCGTTCTGTTTTCTCTGTAGTCCCAGGTGCTTAATTTGGCCAAAGCAAAGCACCTTGGTGTTAATGCCTGATGTTCTCCTGTACCTGGCTCAACCCAGCCTCACAGCCCAGGCCTTTCCAGATCTCTCCGCTGAGTTTCTGAGGTTAGCCTAGCCCGGCTTTGCCATAGAGGTCCACACTGGCAGCCCACAGGACAGCCATGACTTTATAGGGAAGACTGATGAGAATTTCCCAGTGTGGCCCCCAATTCCTTAACCTCTCCCCCACTCCCCCACACTCTTGCTTCTAGGGAAATCACCAGGTCTGCGGGAAGCTACCCCTGCAGAGTGTGTAGCAGGAATCCCCTGTGTGATCTTGGGCAAGTCACTTAATCTGTCTAAGCTGCCTCCCCATGAGTTGACATGTAAAGTCTTGGAACAGAGCCTGGCACATAGTAAGAGCTATAGAAGTGCTAGCATCTATGTAAACCAGGGCCCAGAGGGATGAAATCATACCATACTTGCCCCACCAACTGACAGGATTGTCAGTATCAAATGAGGCAGTGAAGGAAAATACTGGGAATGTTTTCCCTGGCTCCTATGACTTACTCTGTGACCTTGGGAAAGTTACTCAACCTCTCTGGGCCTCAAATGCACTATCTAAAATGGAGATAATACCAGTGCCCAGTTCCTAGGGCTGCTGTGAGGACTGAATGGAATGATGTTCATAAAGCATTAACACCAGGCCTGGCCCACAGTGCTCGCTAGGTGGCAGGTGTCTATGATAGTGTTGAGGGCCAGGCACCTTTACATAGAAGTACTCTACAGTTGGTAAAGCTTGTTGGGGAATACCACAGAATGCTTCAGTGACGTGCCCAGAGTTGCTGCCTGGTAGGTTTCAGGCCTGACACCAGATCTTTTGACTCTCAAGTCCATGACTTACCGTCACTCATCTTGCTTCTTCCCAGCACTAAAGGGTCAGAAAGCTAGCTTGTCATTTTGCTTTCCTTGCTCCCAGGAGTGCCATGATCTGGGGACATGTGGTATTTGCCACCCAGGAGACATCTCCCTATGATATAGCCGTGGTGAACCTGGACGAGGACCTAGATGGTATCCCCATGCCTGTGCCTGCTGAGCATTTCCATGAAGGTAAAGAGCAAAGGTGCCTTCTGGTGTGGGGTGGGCCTCGGAAAGGAAAGTCAGCGTGGGGCCCTCCAACCCTGCAGATCAGGGGCCAGTCCCCTAGGCCAGCTCCCTTCCTACCCCTCCTAGATTAATGAGTCAGGGCGGCATCAAACTGGCGGGAAATCCTCTGGTTGTAGTCCTTGGCTCCGGGCTGCTCTTGGAGGCCTCCCTGCTTGTGCCCAGCATGCCCAAGGGGCTGGGAGGCAGGAGGAATCTCCGGGGAAGGCTCAGGCACACCTCTTCCTGAGGCCCTGCAGCAGTGTACTCTGGATGTGCTGAGCCTTGGGGGCTCCTTATAACACTGCAGACTGGCTGGAGAGGTGTCGTGCTTTTGAGGCTCCAATGGCATGATTTAACAAAAGGCTCCGTGTTGCTGCCATAGAAGTAGCAGAGGTCTCACTTTATGGATGTGATGTCATATAATGACAAAGTACGGGCTCTCTGAGTTGGCATCTCCTGCCATTTACTAGCCCTGTGTCCTTGGACTGGCAACTTAATGTGCCCTGTCTCAGTTTCCACATCTGAAAAATGGGCCTAATGCTCCTTGCTCCTGGCTGTTGTGAGGCTTGGGTGAAATGTTGCTTGTAAAGCACTTAGCTCCATGCCCCGTGCCTTCAAAGTACTTGATAAAGGAAGGTGGCTACTTTGTAGTCCTCATCCCCATTTTTTTTCACCAGGAGACTTCTTAGTCCCAGAAGGAGATGGGTATTAATTCCCCAAACATTTATTGAGCACGTGGCTAAGTGTAAGAACCTAAAAAATGACTGCCCAGTCCAGCAGGGACCAAGGCTGGAGAACAGCCTGACGCTGAGGAGAAGTGGCTGAGCAGGGGCAGTGCTGGGAGCTCAGGGGAGGTCCTGGCCTCTTCCTGTGGGGACCTGGGGAAGGCTCTCTGGAGACAGGAGTATCTGAGCAGAAACTCCAAGGACAGACAGGGTTTGGAACTTTGGAGAGGGCAGGGATGGGCTTGGGGAATGGGAGTCCTGCCAGATGGAGGGGCTCCCCAGCTTCACCCTCCTTTCCTCCCTGGCAGGTGAGGCTGTCAGTGTGGTGGGCTTCGGCGTCTTCGGCCAGACTTGTGGGCCCTCGGTGACCACAGGCATCCTGTCAGCTGTGGTGCAGGTGGATGACACACCAGTGATGCTTCAGACCACATGTGCTGTGCATGGCGGCTCCAGTGGGGGACCCCTCTTCTCCACTGGCTCAGGAGAACTCCTGGGTAACCAGCTCCTTGGCCCTCTCCCAGCTTCGCCTTGCCAGAGCCTCAGTCCCATCTAGCGAGTGCTTGGCGTCCAGCCCTGGGTGCCACTCTGTCTGGGAAGCGGTGGTCCTTATGCCCAGGAGGTAGTTAGCCATGGTTTTCAGGCTGTTTTGCTCCTGAAGGCGGGAAGGGAAGGATGCTGAGCTGGGAGGGAAGAGATCTGGGTTCTGGTCCCTTCTCTGCCACTAAGCCACTGCTCACCTTAGGTAAGTCACTTAATCTCATTTGATCTGTCACACTCAGGAGTTGGATTAGTCCAAGGGTCACAAACTCAAAAGTCTACAGAGGCTGCGCAGGTAAAGTGAATGAATGAGTGAGTGGAGACAACAGGAAGCGGAGAGTCAAGGGTGAACTGGGGTGAACACAACTCAGCACCTGTACGTTGTTGCCTCCTTGTGAAGGAATGTGGCCTCACACTGGCTGATTCTCCAATTTTTCACAGGAAGCTGTGAACCTTTTTTTAAAAAAATAATAATAATAATATGTAGTTGTTAAATCTTTCCATTTTAAAATTTTTGTAATTAATTCACATTTTTTAAAAAAAATCTGTTTATCTATTTTAAAAAAAGCCAACCACGAGTCCATATGGATACCTCCAACTGCAGTCCAGCACACAGGGTTCCTGTGAGCATCCCCTTCTCTAATTTCTGACTTCTCCTCCCACAGTGAGAGACCTTGCTCTTGCTGGCTACAATGGATTTACTTATTTCTTCAACCGTAGCATACAAATGAAATCAACCATGAGTTTTTAAAATATATACACAGATAAGTGGATGCAGAAATAAATATAGATGTGTGTATACATGAGTTAGTGTATGTGTGTGTGTGTATATATATATATGATATATGATATATATCGTATATGTATATCCTAGCTCTGTCTGCTGAGAAGGGCTAGAAGCAGTAACACCCCAGCTGCAGCGAGCACGCCAAGAGCACAGATCTTGGTTGCTAAGAGCCATTCTCTAATGAAAGGAACCTGGAACTGATTGATTCCAGGACTGGGACAGGGACAATCCAAGAGGAGCCTGGAGCACTTTGTGGTGATGGAAAAGAAGGAAATGCTAGCAACAACAACAAAATGCTGGGCTTGTCAAATGTTGAGAGAACCAAGAGCCAACTTGAAGGAGCTCCACTGGAACAACTTGAGCCACAGAACAGACAATAGTATTGGTTATAACCCCCCAGAAAGAATGAATATCTATGAGTCCACACTGATGTAAATAAATAACCAAATCAATTTAAAAATAGAGACAAGCGACAACTCTTCCTTCCAGATTTTCAATTAGTAAACGTAGAAGAAATGAGGGAAATAGAAGCTCACTATTAGGACACCACAGGAGGATGTACCGATGGATGCTAAAATCAGTGGGCAAAGTTTAAGTAGAAACAGAATATGTGCATAACCCTAAAATATTTAGTACTTTACAAAGAGGAATATAGTAAGTCCAGAGTGGAGAAACCTGGCAGAGCACCTTAGCCAAGAGATCAAAGTTAACATCACAAGTAATGCTTGTAGACATCATACACCTCCTGATTCGATGCCCTGAGAAGGATGCATCGCTTCTATGGGAGTCTTCTCAATTATATATAACCTCAGTCTTATCATGAGAAAACATCAAGTAAACCCAGATTGAGAGACATTCTACAGAATAACTGACCTGTACTCTTCAAAGTGTCAAGGACATGAGAGAGAAAGACAGACTAAGGAACTGATTCAGATTAGAGGAGACTTAGGAGACATGACAACTAAATGCCGTGTGGGGTCCTGGATTGCATCCTGGGACAGAAAAAGAGCTGCAATGGAAACACTGGTGAAATCCAAAGGAGTCCTGTACTTTAGTTCATATCATTGTATAAAGGTTAATTTCTTGGTTTTGGTAAGTGTTGTATGGTGACATAAGATACTAATGTAAGCGAAAGCTGGATGAAGGATATACAGGAACTTTTGGCAAGGCTTCTGTAAGTCTAAAATTGTCTCAAAAAATACGTACATACATGTGCACTAAGCAGGCCAAACAAAACTTGTCTGTGGGTCTGATTCATTTATTCTTTCACTCAGCAAGTGTTTGTTGAGTGCCTCCTCTGTGCCAGGCGCTCTTCTAGGTCCTGGGGAGACTGCCTGAACAAGGCACAAAAGTCCTACCCTCAGGGAGCTGACACTAGTTGGAGAGAAAGACAACAAAGTACAGTCATGCACCGCATAACATTTCTGTCAACAACAGATGCAGATACGACTGTGTTCCCATAAGATTAGTACCATATAGCCTAGGTGTGTAATAGGCTATACTATCTAGATTTGTTCTGTGATGTTTGTGCCATGACGAAATCACCTAATGATGCCTTTCTTAGAACGTATCCCCCTCATTAAGCAGCGCACAACTGTAAGTGAAACTGTGTTAGATACTGATAATGTTAAGGAGAAAGTAAAGCTGGGAAGGGGGACCAGGATGTGGGGAGCTGGTGTCCGTGAAGGGAAGCCTACAGTCTGTCTCAGTGAGGAGGCTTCAAGACCCCAACAGGTGTAGGGCCTCCAGCATGGAGATGGGCCTCCCTTCCCACCTGTCTATCTATCCCCTGGCTCATACCCTCTTTTCCTCTTTGACTCCTCAACAGGCATCGTTGCCAGCAACACCCGGGACAATAACACGGGGGCCACCTACCCCCACCTGAACTTCAGCATCCCCATCACAGTGCTCCAACCAGCCCTGCAGAAGTACAGTCAGACAGGTGACCTGGGCGGCCTCCGTGAGCTGGACCGTGCCACTGAGCCAGTGAGGGTGGTGTGGCGGCTGCAACGGCCCCTGGCAGAGGCCCTGCGGAGCAAGCTCTGAGGCTGTGTCACCCCTCTGGATAGAAGAGCAACCATTTTATGCCATGAGAAGTGCTGAGGCTGGCAGCCTCAGGATCCTGACACGGCACGCCCCAACTGGGCTGCCTCCCCATTACCACCCACCGTGTTCAGCCCTGGAGACTGGATCAAACTTCTCTTCAGCCCCGTGGGTCTCCAACCTGGCAGCTTGTTTTGGGGTGCTTTCTGGAGCCCCCACCACTCTCTGCCCCCTTGCACTAGACTCAGCTCTGTTGTTTCCCCTTGTGGGGAGCCCAGTACAACTACACATCAGCCCTGGTCCTGACAGATGCTGGCTGGAAGGCAGGTCCAGCCCTGGTTTTGCATCTGTTCCCTGTCTCCTGATAGCCACTGGCCACCTGGGGCCGCCGCTTCACTGGGGCCTTGGCTCCTTTCTGCTCTCAGTCAGACTTGGGCTGACACGGCACTGGGGCTTCCTCAGGAAACCTTGGCAGAGAGGCCCTGCTCTGAGGACCTGAGACAAAAGGAAAAGAGCATCTTCCTGTTCTGCCAGGTCTACGGGGAGGCAGCGTTCCTGAAAGTCAGGACTCCTGGGTCTGTATGTCAAGCGTTGCTGACCTACAGGGGCATTCTGACACAGTGCCTTGATTTTCCAACCCATAAAATGGGCCTCAGGGATCTTGGAGGGTGGAATGTATTGTTGGGGTTTGGGAATAAACAGGACATACAGAAGGACCTCTATACTTCTATAGATCAGATTCTTTTTTTCTCTTTGTTTGGAGAATGGAATTGGGAATAGGAAAGTGCCAGGCACAGAAATACACCTTTACTTTTTTTTTTTTTTTAAAGATTTTATTTTTTTCCCTTTTTCTCCCCAAAGCCCCCCGGTACATAGTTGTATATATTCTTTAGTTGTGGATCCTTCTAGTTGTGGCACGTGGGATGCTGCCTCAGCATGGCCTGACGAGCGGTGCCATGTTCGTACCCAGGATCCGAACCGGTGAAACCCTGGGCCGCCGCAGTGGAGCGCACGAACTTAACCACTCGGCCATGGGGCCGGCCCCAGAAATACACCTTTTCTGTCCTGCTTTCTTGGCAGGGTTTAATCTAATAGGATATTCTTATGCCAGACTGGTCCTTGTAGCTGTTCATGACACCAATCAGCACTAGGTGGGGCTTGCATATCCTGTAAGGTGGTGGTTTTGGCCTGGCAGCCAGTGTTTATAGAGTGCCCGGCTGTGCCCAGGCCTGTGCTACCTGTGATGGTTGTTCTCCCCTTTGTGGATTAGGAATGTGTCCAGAGGGCAAAGGTAGCTTGAGAGAAATCCCATAATACATTAATGGAGGCAGGGGCTGAGGTCTGACTTTGCTGGGAGGGGAGAAGGAGGATTTACATAGCATGTGTGGGTATCAAGGAGCTCTGGCTGTTATGGGGAGACTGGTGTGTCAACCCATTAGTGCCATGAGGAGGGCAGCTCTGTCCTGCTCAGATGGAAGACTATGTTCAGGGGCCCAGGGAGGGAGGATCAGGCAAGGCTTCATCAAGGTGACTCATGAGCTGAACCCCGCAAGGAGAGTAGGTGTTTACCAAATAGACTGGGAACAGGGGGGTGTCCCAGATTGAGAGCAGTAGGAGTTGGAACAAGGAAGTGTGAAACCACGTGCATGTTCTGGCATTGCTAGGCGGAGAGAAAACTGGAAAGGAGTAGGACTGCCGGCTGGAGAACCAGTTACAATGGCCCTGCTGAGGGAGACGACGGCTAAAGCAGGACTGGTGGGCATGGAGATCAAGTGATGACAGAGGAGGTGGAACTGAATGGAAGTGGGGCAATGCAGAGAGAGAAAAAGGTCAGATGGTGCCTGAACTTCTGACTGGGATAATGATGAGTGGCTGACAAGGTTAGGGACAAGATGTTTCCCTTGAGGTGTCTGTGGGACCTCAAGTAGAGTGGTATAGCAGGCTGTTGAATAAGTGGATGAGTTAGGATAATGCAGTGAAAGATCCCCCCACCCCGTCCCACTCCCACCATCTCAGTGGCTTAAGACAATGGAAGTTTACTTCTTGCTCATATAAAGTCCAGTGTACAGTGTACCTGACCGGGAAGGCGAGGGTGGCACTCGTGCAATGATGGTTGAGGGACCCAGCCTCCTTCTCCTGTGGCTCTGTCATTGGGTCTGGCACCTCAGAGTCCTCTGCCAGGTCTTCTGTATCTGGCTGGGGATGGGGGAAGGGAGAGAGAAGATATTCCTGCTTTTAAAAAAAAATCTTGAAACAATTTCAAACTTACAGAAAAGTTGCAAGAATCCTCCTACACCCTTCACCCAGACACCCTGTTTCACTTTTGCCAAATGCCCCAGTGATGGTCTTTGTAACAAAAACATCTCATTTGGGATCATGAGTTGCACCCACTTGCCAGGGCTCTCTTCCGCCTCGACTTGGAGCAGCTCCTCAGTCTTTGAGGTCGATGCCCTTGACCTTCCCAAAGATAACAGGGCAGTCATTTCAGAGAATGTGCCTAGCTTGGGTTTTGCCACCCTTCCTCATCATTAGATTGAGGATGAGCATCTTTGGCTGGGATATCACATTAGTGATGTTGTCTTCTCATTAGTGTCCTACTGGGCGCCTTATGATGTTTATTTGTCTCACTACAGATGATAACATTGATCATTTGAATAAGGTGGTGCCTGCTAGGTTTTTCCACTGTAAAGTTGTTTTTTTTCCTTTGTACTTAGTGTTTTGTATGGAAATACTTTGAGACTATGTAAATATACTGTTTCTTATCCCACTTTCTCCTACTATATTTATCATCCATTGATGTCTCTTGGCTGAATAACTTTAATGGATGCCAGATGGCAATTTTTAAATTTTCATTATTCCTCCTACATTTATTAGTTGGCATTCTATTGTAAGTAAGAGCTTTCCCTTCTCTCTGTTTAATTATATCTTTGTGGACTCATATTTTATTCAATGGATTATAATCTGTTATTATCATTATTTATTTTGGCGCTCAAATTGTCCTATATTGGCTGGTGAGAGCTTTAAACTAGCTTCTGTGTTCTTTTGGCATCTCCCCATCATTCTTCGAGTACTTCTTTCAAAACAAAATGTTCTAGGCTTACCTTGCAATTTCCCTGGAATCAGCCATTTCTCCAGGATTCCTTTTACTGGAGAATGATATTTAGAAGCCAAGATCTAGGTACTGGGTGTGCTTATTATGCTGAGGTGTTGCTGCTCCTAGGCCCTCCTGGTAGACAGACCTTACATGTATATTTGTATCTCTGTATATCATAAGCCGTGAGTTAACACGAGTAGTTCCAATTCAAATTCAATACAAGATTCATTCTAGCTTTCCGCTGGTCATATTTGTACTCCCCTCCCCTGAGTGAGAAACATGGCTCCGTCTTCCTCCATTTACTTGTTTGCTCCATCCCCTGCATGTGGCCAATCTTTTAACACCACCAGGCTGCCCCTGCCACCCTGCTCTGATGCTGTTCTTACATGGGCCACCATTACTCTTCCACACAAGCCTGCCTAGTGGTTTTCGGCTTCATTAAGGAGAGGGAAGGAAGCCACCCTTCTTAACTGCTGCAGCCCAGAAGTGACACATATCACTCCTGCCCACATTCCTTTGGTAAGAGTTTGGCCCTACCCAGAAGCGAGGGGTAGTGGCGGGAGATGTAGTCCCGTGGCTGGGCAGATGCTCTTCAGCAGACCCCCTGTGCCACAGTAGGGAGAATGACCTTTGCAGAGAGCTGGCCGGCTCTGCCAAGCTGGATCTTTTCCTAGTGCTGCTTTGGAACCACAGACTCACTCCTGTGACCTAAATAAAAGCAGGTTTAGTGTTCAGACCCTCCTGGACAGGTGCCAGAAAGCTCCTTGACCTGGAGAAACTCTAGGGGCCACCAAGTGTAAGTGATGACTCAGTATCCTTCTCTGCTTTGTTCAGTCCCTCTGGCCTCCTCTGCAGAGTCTCTCCTTCCTCATAAGTACAGTTTGCATTTGGCCATCCAGACCTTTCTGGCCCTTCTCTCCCTGACCTTTTATCTAGCTCTCCTTATCACATTCCCCATTATCAGATTTCCTCAATAAATGCCCAAGAGAGCAAATATCTGATTGGGCCCATCCTCTTCTCATGCCTTGCTACACCGGGGGCTATCCCTTCAGAGAAGCGGTGGGCAGGGTGGACTCCTTTAGGCTGCGAGAGGATCTACACCATGGTCTGGGCTGCAGCGAAGCTGGGTGCTGCCAGCTGAAGCTGTGCGAGAAGGTGCAGTGAAGGGCCTGGGGCCACCAGTGTGTAAGGCCTAGAGGCAGAGCAGGAGCCTGCAAGGGGCTGAAAAGAGACAAGCAGAGGCACAGGGAAGAAACCAGGGAGGCCTGGACCTAGGGCACCAGGGCAGACACCCGTTAGCCCCTCACCAAAATCTGCTTTCCCCCTTCTTCCTGGGCATACAGTAGACGGCATTTCCTGGCCACCCTCAGTGAGGTGTGTCCGTGAGTTCCAGCTCCTGGAAGGAGAATAGAAGCAAGGTGCACCACTGCCAGGCGTGGCCCATAAGATTACCTTCTACCTGGCCTTCTCCGTGCTCTTCCCCCTCCCCCTGGTGGGAATGGAGGCTACCCCTAAAAAGAGACCTTGGAAGCCACTTGCTAAAGATGGCCTCTGTCAGTCTGGTCCCTGGATAACTGTACGGAGGTGGCAGCCTCATTAACCAGTCCACCAGCCTGTACTAGTACCCAGGCAAGAAATGCACTTCTGTTGTATTTGAGCCATTAGATTTGGGGGTCTATTTGTCACAAGAGTAGAACTTATCCTCACGAATATAGTCTTTCTGTGGCTGGGAGTTCTACACCAGACCACAGTTTCGGGGAGGGGCTCGTGAATTCAGCTGGAACTACAGATGGAAAAGGAAAACACTTCAGGGGCTCTTTAGAGTTAAAGATTGACTCTTCCTCAAGTGGGGATACACCCTTTGTGTCTCGGGCCTCTGAGGTGACCCCAGTACCTTAGAGCTCCGCCCAGCCCTGGGAGCCAGCAGTGAAGTCACCTGTTGTCTGTCAGGGAATATCCTCTGGCTCATCCTCATGGCTGAGCTCATTATGGCTGAGAGCTAGCAATGCTTTCTCCTCTTAAATTCAGTGATGTTAGACAATCTGCCTGCCATTCCTCCTAATCATTAAAGTTCCGTACAGGGGCCGGCCGGGTGGCACAGTGGTTAAGTTCGCACGTTCCACTTCTTGGCGTCCTGGGGTTCATGGGTTCGGATCCTGGGTGCGGATATGGCACCACTTGGCAAAGGTCATGCTGTGGTAGGCGTCCCACGTATAAAGTAGAGGAAGATGGGCATGAATGTTAGCTCAGGGCCAGTCTTCCTCAGCAAAAAGAGGAGGATTGGCAGTAGTTCGCTCAGGGCTAATCTTCCTCAAAAAAAAAAATTCTATAGAACTTCCAGTGTTTCAGCATCCAAACCACACCTTCTTACTGCCTCTGGCACCTGGAAGTTCAAAGACAAAAGTCCTTTGTTAGGCAAGGAGCCCTGATTTTCAGTTCCAAAGTGATGGGCACTGTTGAGTGGGAAGAGAGGAGGGATGTGGGGTGAACTGCCTGGGAAAGGTCACAAGAGGGTTCGCACTGAAACCCTCTCCCCTCTCTTGGACCAAAGTGTCCTCTGGTCATCAAGAAGGTGGTGAATGACAATTAGACAACTTCCCGGACTTTCGTGGTTTGAGGCAGGTCCTTGG